ACCTGATGCTTGTCAGGCAGGTGCTGCCCCACTGAGCTAAATCCCTGGCCCACCATTGCTGGACATAGTATCTGACATTCACAATTATCATGTTGTAAGGGGATTCAGTCCAAGATCAGCTGACTCGAAAACAGAAATATTACAGGAAGAATGTTTTGCAGCAAAGCTGCTTAGTTTATGGAGTCTAAGAAGCAGCTCAGGGGACAGTGCTAGAGAGGAACAGGCAAGGGAACAGACTCAAACCCCAAGGCTATGTACCATGACCCATCTAGACACACCTAACAGTGTGTGTCACCAAGTCACATGCCAGATCGCAAAACTAACCACTTTAATAATATATTATCACAATTATGGATTTCCTTAAGTACTTATAATCAGAAAATTTCTCATAAATAACTTACCATTAAAAACAAATTAATGGCTAATATGTTCTCAAATAAAATCTGAGGAAATAAAAATTCACAAGGTGGGGGCTGCGGATGTTGCTCAGTGGGAGAGTGCTTGCCTACCATGCACATCCTGGGTTCAATTCCCAGGACTAAGAAAATAATTAAAATGGAAATAATCAAATTAAAACAACTATTTGTGTGTTATTGCTCTCATTTCATTTTGTACATTTCCCCTCAACTTTCTGGAAAGATGCAAAAACCATTCACTTCGAAGGAATTTATTCTATACAACCAAAGTCGTACATAGTTAACTATGGATATTCACTTTTTATATTTAAAAAAGATTCCTATGAGGAAAGTTAATATAATACAGCACACATCATTAAAAAAATATGGATTAGACCACTTGGAATAAATAGTTAAAACTGTCTGACAAAATTTTCTGTTTAGAAGACGTACATTTGTCCAACAGGTAAGGAGCCTGCTCTGAATTAGCAGTGTGCAGCACAAGCAGCATGATCCCATATTAGCCAGGACAATAGGCACAACTGGCTGACTTTGACTACAGGCCAGAAACTCCCATTCAGCTCTAGGAACATGTAGTTACATTGGTCACCTTGACTCTCAGCAATATTGAAATTACCATTCCTGGTATGAAGTCACAAAGAAATGGAGATGAAAATGGCTGTTATTCATCAGTCCAGCCTTCCCATCTCACTGAGAACTCAAGTGGGAACATGAAGTCCAAATCATGGTATATTGTCAAGCATCAAATGTGGAACACTATATAAAGATCAAGTAATCAACAATGCAGAAGCCTCCTGCAGTAGAAGAGGGCATCTAGAGCGTGTATCACTTACCATATTAGACTGCAGTGCATATCCTTTGAGAATGAGGGCAGGTTTAGCTCACTGTGAAGCATCTGAAATTCAGTATCAAAAAAGCAAAGTGTTGCATTACACAGATACATAAAACTGACCATATTTCCAGGTGTCTAGAGCTAATTCCATATACAGGAAGACTGACTTGATGTTCAGTTAAGCAGAATGTATATAATGGAGCAAGCATCTTACTTAAAGTTTTCTAAGTAGGATAGACACATGGGAGACCTTCACAGGCAATGCTAGTATCATGACATTTAAATATGCCTGGCTGCCTGCTTTCTAAAGGCAAAAAATGAGAACATGATCACTCCTTGTTCATCCTCAGATTTGGTATTCCAAGGTATTAGTGACTAGCATTAACCAAATTTGTCTTTCATATGTTTATGTTCACACAGCCAAGTGTTATTGTTGCAGCCAATGGTTCTTCCAGGACTGGCTCATGAAAGCAGGGTGTGTTCATCACTCCCCATGTGTGATGGGTTTTATTCAGTAAAATCACATTACTATATGAAACTGATGATGGAGAGAGTATTTCTATCACTTAAGTTTATAAGTGCTATAGATCTTCCCACCTCCAAACCTCCTCCATGAACAGATTAGTAGGTATCAAACACCACTGTGCCTCCATACTTTCTACTCTTTGTGCAACGGATCACACAGTTTGCAAAAGTGAAGGGACAAAATGGTGACCTAAGTCATTTTTCTCATATATTTTAAAGGTCTTATGTTGTTGTCCTGCCTCTTTCTTTCTTTACCCTTAAGTTCAAATTTTTATCCATTTTTAAATCATTTGTTATTGTGTTAGTGTCTTTTCTAAACTTGCATTTATCAAAGTAACAAATTAAGCAACTGAGAAAGAAATCTAATTATTTTCCCCTGTGGCTCATCTTCTCAACTATACCTTAAGCTATTTCTAAGAAGACAAGTGTTAGATTTTGACAGCCCAGTTTTGTTTAGCATGATGTATGGGACAGTGATGTAAAGGAACACATAAAATCTCGGAATCCAGATAAATGCTTTTAACATTTAACACTTAGATTTAACATTTAAATATGTTTGTGTAACATACTTTGTGCCTTAATATTTATAGAGTTAGGAAAAGGAGTGTAAATGTGAGATTCCAGTATGGTCCTTTCCCTTCTCTTTCTTTCCTCTGAATCTGTCTTATAACTATGGGGCCTCATTCATGAGCTTAGTATTGTAATCAACCCTTCACTTTGGCTGAGATTGAGGGGTTTTTCAAGATCCACTACTTCAAATGCTGAACTCGTACAGGACTAGGCAAACCAAGATTGGCTTTCCTCTAGATTAAAGAAAAAAAAAATGCTTACGATGACAGAGTCTGATGGTATCACACTGACTTCTGGTCGGAGAATTCTAGGGCCTCGGAAGTACAGGTCTACACAGGTGGGAATGAGCACATGATGGCACATGGCCTCTGACAGGGCATCTTCCTCTGATCCTATGGACTCCTTTCCTCCAAGTGGAATCTGTGTATGCAGTAGTAAATAAATGTAGAAACACACTTCATAATGTAAAAATATATCAAAATGTTTTTTTTTTTCAATTTATCATTTTTTTTCTTTCAGTATTACACAGGCAATCTTTTTTTTTTTTTTCCTCCAGCAATCCTTTTTGGTCTGATCTGGTCTGGTCTAGTTCCTATACTACATTCGGAGGAATGAAAACTGTGTAAAATTCTTCAGTAGCCTGTATTAAAAAATCAGGATCCCCAACTCAATAACATGGGCTTCAAGTGATCATCTAGGTCCCTCTCATGCATACACCGCACACTCGGTTTGCATCATGCCTTTGACCTCAATCACAGCTACATTGGCTCTACTTTAGTTCTGTATTCCACATCCCTGCTTGCTCTGTTTTATAAAATTATATTATTTAAATCCTCTCCTAGATTTATAAGCACAGTAAGATTACTCATTACTTGCCACTTTTTCTTCCTATTCAGAGACAAAGTATAGAGAACTATATAATAAAATATAAAAAGAAAAAATGGAGTGAAAAGAAGCAAATTTCTAGTTCATGTGGCAAAGTTCTCCACACTGGATGTTTTTATTTTCCTACCCTAATTGGATATTGTGTAAAATTCTACTTCTGTATTGATAAGAAGCATTTTTTAACCAGTTTTTCTTCTCGGTTAGGAAAGGGATGGGCAGTGTGTATTTATAGTGTGAGCATTTTGTAACCACAGTAGCAGAAACTTGTGAAGTAACAGAAAGGATAGAGAAAATGAAAAATGCAAGTAGTATTTGTGAACTAATCAAATATTCTCTTTTCTCTTTTTTCCACCTCCTGATCCAGTTCCTAATATTATTACAAAATCTAATATTAGAAGGAAAACAAAAAGAGTTACGTCGAGTAAGGTGTAAAAGATTACCAAAAAATAAACACTCGTCTATAGTTTGTAGCAGCATTAACATTAAAAAAAAAACTGATATGACAATTTTGTGGATAACATTTGATAATAAAATCATTCAGTCAAATACATATGTTCATGCTTATAAAACAATTATCAACCAACATGCACAACAAACACCTTCTTTTTATTCCTCTCTCCACTATTCTCATCGCGTGCTTCACCATAGTGCCAAACAATTGTCAGGAAACAATGACAACTGCACATACACTGTCAGTGAGTTACTGGGACTGGAAAAATGAATTATTCAGCCAAAGTGGAAAGAGAGTATAAAGAATTGGAGGGAATGTCCTTAAGCTGTAAAACATTTATTCCCTACGGCAAAGCCAAAGGTGATGTCCCAAACCCACAATGAGCAGAGGAAATGGCTCCGGTGACATTAAGAGGCCACATCCTGCAGCCACACGCCCGGGTCCTCCTGCACAGTTGTTCTCTAGTATTGCTGCACCAGGTTGCGCAGGCGCAGAGCTCCCTTCTGAGCGCGCACAAGAGGGCGCTGTCGTCACGCCGCCTCCAGCGCTATGGCTTCTGCAAAGCACGATGGGTAACGGCTCTAAATCGCGGTGTGCGCAGGCGCGCTCCGCACACGCTCCGGGGAGGTGCTCCCGGCCGCCATGGGTCGCCGCCCCGCTCGCTGTTACCGTTACTGTAAGAACAAGCCATACCCGAAGTCTCGCTTCTGCCGAGGGGTCCCGAATGCGAAGATTCACATCTTTGACCTGGGTCGGAAGAAGGCCAAAGTGGACGAGTTCCCGCTGTGCGCTCACATGGTGTCGGGCGAATACGAGCAGCTCTCGTCGGAAGCCCTGGAGGCCGCCCGCATTTGCGCCAACAAGTACATGGTGAAGACGTGCGGCAAAGATGGCTTCCACATCCGGGTCCGCCTCCATCCCTTCCACGTCATCCGCATCAACAAGATGCTGTCGTGTGCGGGAGCCGATAGGCTGCAGACGGGGATGCGAGGCGCCTTTGGGAAGCCCCAGGGTACTGTGGCCAGGGTTCACATCGGCCAGGTCATCATGTCCATCCGCACCAAGGCGCTGAACAAGAAGCATGCGATCGAAGCGCTGCGCAGGGCCAAATTCAAGTTCCCAGGACGCCAGAAAATCCACATCTCCAAGAAGTGGGGCTTCACCAAATATAATGCTGATGACTTTGAAGAACAGTTGGCCGTGAAGCGCCTCCTCCCTGACGGTTGTGGAGTCAAGTATGTCCCCAGTCGTGGCCCTTTGGACAAGTGGCGGGCACTGTGCTCTTGAAGGCTGCCCTGGACCACGCTTCCCAGTACACTGAGTGTGACTTAAGCTTGACAAATTCTGTTCGCTGGCAAAAACGACATTTTTTCTAAGAAAATTAGAAAACAGTTGCCCAGTTTTAGAATGTAGAATGCTAGAGAAACAATATGCATGTTTTAATGGAAAATACTTTCTTGAAGTAAGAAAAACTTGTAGGCCATTTATGGAAAGCTATTGCTATTCCGATCCAAATGCTTTAAATGTATGAGAATATTTTAAGATGTGTTAAGTTTTGTTTATAGTAAACTCATAAATTGTGGAAGTGTTTGTGGTAAAGTGAAATTATAATAGCTGTCATTTTGGATTAAAAGCAATGAGAGCTCACAATTCGTGTAAAAATTCTTATTGTCTGTAAAAAGCTGAATATATAGGGATGAAAACAGTAGGCGTTAGTGATAATTCAGTTACAACCTCTGAAGCTAATTGATCTTATTTCTAAGTTTGGGCGGTTGTCTTAATATAAATTTCTGTACATTAGCTTTAGAATTGCCTATCATGTTTGATTATCAGCCTTAAGGCAGTTGAGTATACTGAAAAAGGCTTTTCCAGACAAGCCTTGCGTTATCTTACACCCAAGAGACAATAGTCCAATCTTTTCTTCATCACCAGGAGGTCATAGGTGACAATGGAGTTCATATTGCTTGTATGGAGGCCTCAGAGAATCAACACAAGAGAGAAAATGACACTTAATCGGCTATGTCTGCCCTGAGAGACCCCTAGGGAGACCTTGCTATCTGTAGTTATTTGCCCTACGTTATAGTTACATTGATCACAAAGGTGATTTTCATTTATTTTTAGAAACTACATGGATTTTCTGAGTTGGTTCTTTTTCTTCCCCTTTGTTACTGTTTTTCTTGTTGTTTAAGTTGATTTAGCCTTATATATCTCAATCTTGCAAACAATATCTTTGGTTTTCTTTTTCTTTTTTTTTTTAATGTATTTAGAACAGGATCTACAGGGTTTCTCTACATAGATTAAACTCGTAGTGATCTTCCTGTTTCCAGCCTCCCAAAGTGCTGGGATTACAAGTGTGCAACACGTCCAGTCTCAATTGCAGTCTCAGAGTGCCCTGGGGGCAGGGCAATAGGGATCAAACTCCGGCCACTGCACACTAGTATGCTGAGCTATCTGGCTGGCCCTCGGTTTTCTTACAGGAGTTACTCTTAGAGCCAACACAATTAATGAAAGAAGGAACAAGTACAAAACATCAGACAACATTGCTGTTTGTGTAGCTTCCACTAACTTAAAATTCCTTGTTAATCCTAACACATTACTTCTGGCTTTATATTTCTTTTTTAAATTTGTTTAATCATTTATTTATTCTAAACAGTCTTGCTGTGCTGCTCAGACTCTGAAGTGATCCTTCTTTCTCAGCCTCCCCAGCACTGGGATTGCAGGAATGCACCACCATACCTGGTTTTGGTGGCTGGCTCAGTGCCAGGCCGACACAGCATGCCATACCAGGAATTAAAACCTGGGTCTTTATGCTTGCCAGGCAGGCGTTTAGACCACCCAGCTATCTCCTCAGCCTCTGGCTTGATATTTTTTTAAGATTCTCATGTGAGGTATTTTCTGTTTGCATGTATATCTTTTTCTGTTTGTGTTAAGCTAGGTTCCCATTGTAAGTAACAATATTTGATATATTACAAACTTGAAAAAGATAATTCTAAAAACATACTAAGTAACTTGAATATATTGCAAAGACTCTTCAGCCTGAGAAGCACCTTCCTTAATGTATTTTTGAGAATTCCTAAAATTGACTGGAAAATTAAGTCATACTCCATTAGCAAATAAAGAGGAACTTGAGCCAGATCTTTTAAGCTCTGTAAAGTCTTGATTCTAACTGTACTGCCTCCCAAAGAGAAGGAAAAAAGGCCTCAAAAATAAAAGAAAACAACAGACACAACAAAACAAGCAGTTACATAGTGCATCCAGTTTTCAAAATATTTTTCCAGTTTATTAATTCTTCTTTGTGTTCTCAAAACCATTCCAACTTCTTAACTATACTATGTATATTGGAATAAGCTATGAATTATCTCGAGTATTATCTGAATATATGTATCAGGTAGGGAGAGAGAAAGGGAGGGGGAAGGGAGAGGTGAAGTGGGTAGGGAGCTAGCTAGCCCTCTAGGGATGTAGGTACGGATATAGCTCCGGAGGGGTACAGCTCACAGGTGGAGTGCTTGGCCAGCATGTACAAGGCCACTAGGCTGGCTCTCCAACATCATAAAGCAGAAGAATGATGAAAACAATGGAGGTTTCAAAATATTCAATTTGTCTTATACAGAATTATATGCAAATCTTCTTCTTTAATGTTGATATAAATATATTTTCATCTTAATCTTACTATAGACTCTAAAGACATGAGCTTATGATACACATTTTCATATTTTAGTGTTACTTTCCCTACTTAAAAGGTAATAAGATGAAGGAAAATTTGATTGTATTTTTGGAAAGCTCATCATCATCTTAAAATTTCTATTTAAAATGGAAAACTTAATTTGGTAGACATTAAAATAAAAATTTAATTCATATATTGTGTTTATACACTATTGGAACAAAACAGAACTTTTTATCCATTTGGATTAAATGATTGAGTCTCTTAAGTTTTATGGAGAATACTTAATTAAGGGTGGAGAAGGGTCATGCACCGTACTGTTTTGAAATTTATTTCATAAAACATTATTATATAATACAACATTTGTACTCCATCAAAACAAGATATTAAGCATATTTAATTTGGCTCATTCATTCATTCATTCATTTATTCAATCATTTATTTATTTGCAGTACCAGGGATCCAACTCAGGACCTTGTGCTTGCCAGGCAGGCACTTATGCCACTGAGCTATCTCCCCACCCCTATTTATTTTTATAAAATATAGACAGACAGATAGATAGATAGATAGATAGATAGATAGATAGATAGACAGATAGATAAATAAACAGCTAGAAGATTGGCATATGTATTTTTATAAATATGTATCTCAGCCTTCTCATGAACTGCTTTAAACTACCATTATTTCCTTATCCTGCCTAAATCTGTGACATTTCAAATTGAGCTTTCTGGTTCTGCCGCCACTGATAGAAAGACTGAGTTAAGGTATTTAATCTCAAGCTTCATCTGCTACTACATTAGTAAATTTTTGTGTGTTTGTATAATAGAATAATAAATTCACTTAAAAGCTTTCTTTTGGGGGCCGGGGAGATGGCTCAGCAGAATAAGTGCTGCCCTGGCAAGCACAAGGGCCTGAGTTCAATCCCCAGTTCTGCCAAAAAAATAAATAAATAAAAAATAAAAATTAAAAAAACCTTTCTCTTTAAAAAGCAAAATAAATAATAAAGTCACAAGTGAATTAAATTAGACCTTCAATTATGATTCCAAATGAGGTTGTTGTTGTAATACTGGGTAGGAAGGAAAGTTTTGGTGTCGAGATGACTGGATTTGTACCTTAGGTCCTTAACTTACTTGGACAAATTACATAATATCATGACCCCTTAGTTTTTTGTCACTTATAACAGGGGCAGATACTTTCATTATAAGGATTTTTAAGGATTAAATGAGATTATACATTGAGAGAGGAGTATCATTGTGTTTTGCATGTATTAAATACATAAAATTCAGAGCAACCTAACATTGATGTAATACCATTTGTTCCTGCCTTATTGCTATTGATCTTCAAATTTTTAGCCCTGTATCACTTTTTAATGATTTATGGCTTTAACATTCTGTGTTGAAATGATACTTAACTGTTACTGATTTCTAGATTTAATTCAATTCATCCTATTCATTTAAGTTTTTTTTGGAATCTTTATTTTGTATTTTCTATTTTTATATCATTTTATTTGTTGTGTTCTATTTTGGAGTTTCCTTTGAAGAAAATTTAGTTAGTATCATTTATGTGTGACTCAACTATTGGGATTTGCTTTATTGTTCACCATTGTATCTTTTACTTCTCTAGTACAAATTTTATGAACTAGTTTTCCTATTACTGGGCACAATAATCTACATCCACGACTTAAAGAAGGAGAGGCTAGCTCATTAAAAAAAAAATGATTCAATGCATGGCCAGCTGAATCCAAGTAAGATACATCATGGTGAAAAGATTGGTCAAGAAATTCTGCTCAGTTCAGGTGGCTGAGAAGCAGATGAGAACAGTACCGAAGGACAAGGAATTCGTGACCAGATACAGACCCCAAGACTGAGCCCCATGACAAATCCAGTCACAGCCACTAGTTTACTCCTTCCTCCATTTTCCTATAGCAGATCTCAAAACCCATCCAATAACTGTCAACCCTAATTAACAGAGTGAAGAACTACATATACTTTTGATGGATTATAGGTTCTGTCTTCTTCTGAGATTCCATTACATGTAATGCACTAATACCATTTCCACTGGTCACATGTGTAGTCCACATTCCCAGTTGTACTATGTTTCTCATTCTTGATCTTCTGCTTCAAACAATACCAAGTTCAATTGTTGAACATCTTTTGTGTCGGTTTGGCTTCCACTAGGTAATGGATCTACAATTTTTACTTCTGTATAAGTGCATGCTGAATTTCCCAGAGTAGGAAATTATTGAAACGTTTGTGTCATTTGTCTTTTAAGAGTGATTCTAAATTACTGAGCTGTTTTGGAAACATAATTTCCCTGCCCTGCACAATATGGAGTAATGCTGAATATATTTAGTCATCTATCTTTAATTTTTTGAAAAAAATCTCTTTGGCATGTTACATAGAAATACTGCATTCTAAGGTCATATTGTTTCTCTTAAATTAAAAAGATACATAAATTATCTTTTACTTAGCTGCTTGGTTATATCTCTTTCACTGTGTTTTTCTTAATTATATACTGGGAAAGAGATTTGTGATTATGTTTTGTTTCAGCTTATTCACCTAGAATGCCCAGTGTCACACTAAAAACCATCTGTTTTTGAAAGTATTCATGTTAAAACTTTATGCTTTCAAATATTTATTTATTTTCTTTTTTTTTTCCTATTTTCAGGACAGGGTCTACAGGGTCTCAC